TTTATCTACTAGAGTGCGATCCACGTCTGCATCGCAACCAGTTCGAAGTCTGCACGCGTATGTAACTCTTCACGATACCCATCGGCGTACTCACATCTCACTTGAAGCACCCGCACAGGAAGCCAGTGCATATTGATAAAGTTTCTCATTGCTCCCTACTACTAGTAATGTCACTTGCCTCTGCTCCTCCCCCCTCCTACCTCAGACATGTTCGCCCTACACACGCGTGCCCCACCTACGTAACCCTAATTATTCCCGCACTTGCCCATCCAGCTTCTACCCACTTTCCTACCTCTCCCCGTCAGGAATTCGCTTTGCGTCTGTTCTATACCCAGACACACCTCAATTCAAAATATAGCCCCTATAACACCTATAACTCTCTCTCCGCGTCTTCCTCACTACTACCCGCTGCACGCCAACAGAACTATATCTCTGTCCCGCACTCTGATCTATCCCCTTTCATCTGACACTCACCTCCAGGCCTCCATCTCTCTAACCTTTCTCTCCCCTCACGACGTACGAGTCGCCTTTCCTTCTCTCGTAGCTGCATAGCCTTGCTTCTCACTCAAAATTTCCCACTCTCAATTCGCTGTCTCTGCTAGCAATATCTTATAGAGTGATTTATCCTATAATACTCGTATATCTGCTTGTAGATACATAATATTCCACCACTTCATTGCCTTCTCCTTCTCTTTGACACTGTGATGCCAATATATTATCTGCTACTTCCTCCCTTCCTATGTTCTTACATTATATTTCCTCTTCTCCCTAATTCATCTCCATCTTCTTTCCTTCTCCTTTCCCTATAACTCACATATCTTCTCTACTTCCCCCTTTCGAACTCCAACTATATGTACATTCCCCTCTCTCCTTCTCATCCTCCTCTTTTCTGTTTCTATTCAATGACCTGACTGTTCTCTTTCCTCTTTCTTTCTCCCTGTCCCCTTCATTTATACATCGTTTATAATACTCTAGGTTTAAATCCCTGTTATTCTTCAATAAACCTCACCAATTACGCCCATTCACACAAACTTAAAGCTTTACACATATTTGCATCTTAACCTTTTCCCTAAACGATCCACTCATTGTCGACTCAGTCCTCAACACAATAAGCATCTATCACCGCTTCACTCCTTTCCTTTAATCATACTCTCCTATATAGTCTTATATGATCTTACACTGCTCACCACTCTTATATTTTAGCCTTTATGCAACCACTTCCACAGCCCACTCTATTCCATTTTCATGTGTTGTCAAGTATCTTATTCATAACAAATATATTTGACCCATAACCTATACTCTACTTTTGTCTCATCACTTATTATCTCTCCTTGGCTATTGGTATTATTTCAAAATTGTTAAATTTTACACATTTCCTTTTTTGTATTATTCCGTGTGTAAATCCATTATTTTCAAGAAATAAACCTGTTTTAAATATAGTCGTCACCCATAAACAAGGAATATGATAGAGGATGCAGCCGCGCCAACCTTAACATCGATTGATAAGGAGTGAGTCGTGTAATGCGTATCCCGCATGATGTGTGAACAGGGTAATCCTTGATCTTTAGCAGCACCCGGTTGTTGACTGTTATTTATTGAGCTGCTAAGATGCTATCCCCTCTATAATGAAGTTGGGGATGTTAGTTGATCCTTCTGTTGTGTTTTATGTTGTGTACGTCATGTGATGGTGATCTGTGATATGAAAAATGACCAGCTGCACGTATAGGATAGAGACGAGTGTTGTTTTATCGCCTGTTGTCGTCGTCGAGACAGTGACATTAGATACATGATGGGTCGTAGTAAAATGATTTTGGTTTAGTAGCTGATGTACATTTGTGATAGTGAGTTGACGTGAATGATCCACGAGTGAGTGAAAGTGCAGGTGCTTGTAGGCACGGGAAGTCCGGTTATTCGTTGAGTCCTTTTGTCCTTCCAAACGAGCATTATGAGTTGGTGTTATTGATGTGACGGTGTAAGTGTATGTACCTGTTATGTTAATATGACTCAAGCGGTACGCAGACGTATGTGACGTCTGTGTTCTATGGTTGCATGTTGTTTTTTATTCTGTGATTTCCTATTGACTATGAATGGGTGAAGACAGTATGCTTGTTGAGCTCTTGAGCTCAGTTAGCTGCTACTGTAATCGCTCGACGCTGCATGTCGTGAGTGGATACAGAAATAGATAGTACAGAGCAATAAAGATTAAGAGTTATTATATCATATCATCTACTTATCCTCATTCATTCATAATTATTTATTTATTGTTTGTGTGTGTTGTGGTGTTGTTGTATGTGCTGTTGATGTGTGTGCTGTGTGTGATTTACATTGTGTGCTCTTTTATGTTACCTTTCTCTCTCTTCTATTCGTTGTTTTTCCCCCCCCCCCTCCCTTTATTTTTTCCTTCCTCTCTTGTGTGTTGTGGTGCTGCTGCCAGGGTGTGCTTGTGTGTCGTGTAGTGTGGTGTGTGGTAATATTATTGAAGGTGTTTGGGTGTGGTTTGTTTTGTGTGTGTGTTTGTTTTTGTGTGTGTGTTTTGTTTGTGTACTGTTGTGTGGTGCCCCTTGTGTGCTGTGTCTGTGTGCTTGTTTTGGGCTGGTTTTTGCTCGTGCTGCCCTGTTCTCCCTGCTTTTGTGTGTGCTGTGTGCCCGTGGGTTATTGTGTGTGTGGTGTTGTATGTGTCGTGTGTGTGTTGTTTTGTGCGTTCAATGTTTTGTTGTGTGTTTTGGTTTTTGTGTGTGTTTTGTTTGTTTGCTGTGAACCCTTTTGGGGAATTGTGTGTTGTGATTGTGTGTGATAACCCAGGAGCAAATTGTGTGTGACCGAAGACGTGGGGAGGTGGTGTGATGTTGGTGTGTGATGTGTGGTGTGATGAATGGTGGGTATAGTGTAGTGAGTGTGGGTGGGATAGTAGTTTGGTGTGTAGATGTGCTTAGTGGTGTGGATGAAAAATAGAAGAAATAAGTGAACAAAAATTGATGACAATTCTTTTTAAGCAATACTAAAACGCGATAAGAGGTAGAACCATGCATGATCCTAATAGTGTAGTGTTACGTGAATCCGCAAGTGTAGAAACTGAAATCAACAAAGGTGATAAGGGTTAAAAAGAATAAAAGAACAAGAATATTTATAGAATGTGGGCATATGGTTTGGTGTGAATGCTAGTTATGTGAGTGATAGTAGTGATAAACAAGGAGATGGTGTATCATGATTAGGTAGAATAGATAATAGTATGGAAGTATGGTATGTGTAGGTGCAGTTAGGTGTGTGTTAGTATGTACGTTGAGTATGTAGTGTGTGATATGTGGTTGTAAGTGCGTGTGTATCGTTGTGATGTTGTGCTGTGTGTTGTGTGTGTGATAATATATATATATCATGTTGTGTGTGTGTGTGTGTGCTGTTTGATTATTGTAAGTGCTTGATGTTAATACCTCATATAGGTACTATAATATTGTGTAGTATGTGTATGTATTGATGTATGCGTGGTTTTGTTAATTGTGTCTTAGTATAGGGCTGGTTTAGGACTGGGTAAGCGTGATGTGCGTGCCTATTTAGCGCATATATTATATATATTGTGTGTGGTGTGTGTTGTGTTGATAGTCGTTTGTTGAAATATGTCGTGTTGTAGTGGCTGCGAGTTTTTTTTTATTGGTTTTTGTATAAACTAGACTATAAGGTTATTGTGACTCAAACAGACCCCTTCGCATATTATTTTCACATAATTTAATTACACTGATACACCACGGGGGTGAGGATAGCCGCAATAAGTAAATTAAAGACATTACACATTACTCTTATTCTGATACTTATACAGTAAGTATAATTACTATAAATGACGCATAAGATAGCTCATGCAAATAACCAGAATTAAGAATTATGATTATATACCAAACAAGGTAACTTGCCTTTACTTGATTACCTTGGTATAGATATTTTAATACATTTGTACATAATAATCACACCCTGCACACACTCCACACCTCACTTTCAATCACTCACGCATCACAATACACGACTCCATCAACACTGACATCACTACACACACCACACCACATACTACCCAGACGGAGAAGTTCTAACACAAAAATCACACGAATACATTAGTTCCATACCTTATTGGACCCGCATATTTAGGTTAATTATGAAAGAAATTTGTCTTTATTTCATATTATATCGAGTATATTAATCCAACAAATACTAGTCTCGAATTGTATGTGGATCACGACATACACAAGATCGCACAGAAACACAATGTATTGCGATCAAATCTTCAGTAGATTTAAAAGATATATATTTGATAGACAAAACATGAATGCATATATGCAACCAATAACATATGGATATATATATTATAAGTTACTTTAAACATTTTCATCAGGGAATAATTAATGATATGTAAATATAGTGGTTATAATACTTATTTAGTATTCAAATAAACAGTTCATTATCGTAATTACATATAATAAAGATATATATTATTAATATACTATAATTACAATAGTATATATCACATAAATATACACATAGAACTATAGTTACAGTCTATAATACTCAATGGGTTTGCCTTATAAATGTTAGTTCAATAATATCACTCAAGCACACAAACATATACTGCTGTAATCACAAAACCACTGACATAAACATCAACACAAACAATTTCACCCGCTACACACAACAGTCTACTAAGACTACAACTCCAACAACACAACTAACTACACCATAACTGCCTGGTTCCGAATACTTCCGTACCTTAGTGTTTCACATCCCAAAAGGAAATAAAAGCTCTTGAAAATAAAAATGTACATAAAGAAATTCTTATCTGGAAAAGTGCAATATCACCACTAGTGTAAGCCCGGTATATTCCATCTCCTTTATATACTTAAGAGACAAGAGGTGTAGAGCTCTCACGCTGTTATACGACTGTACTCGCTTACCTTATTCACGCCTGACCTTGATGCCGCCGGCACGACACCCATCCCACGCTCTCAAAGTGGCATTCTTGGTGATGAATATGGAGATGATGAATTTCCTGTTCTTGTGAATGGCGTAGAAGTTTGATTTTAGAATGTTACGTTTACGTTGGAAAATGGCGTAGATGTTCGATTACGAAACGTAAGGCTCGGGGTTTAAGAAAAAAAATTTCAATGGTGTGAATGCTTCATCGAAGATTCCTTAGAGTTTGGACATTGCGAAGTGCGAGACGTAGAATCCGAAATGACCGAAACAATATCCCTCTATCATCACAATGGCGGCTTAAATTTTTTGTTTTGTCTCAACCGAACCTTTGGAAGCCCCTAAAGAGCATGATCTTTTAGAATAAAGCTATATAACAATTCAGTCATAATAAAAGCTCACATATGTCGATTCGTCATTCAGCATAGTTGGTTACATACCCAGTTGAATAAAATCAAGTTTGGCTGTAACGCTTCATGTCATCGAAATACTATGGATATGGAGGAATATAATACAGGCTTTTTGTTTAGAAGGAAAGTTGTTCATCCGTAAGGCCTATATACATATATGTAAAATTTCATTACATTCTGCCTCTTAGGTCCCTTGTCTCTAAAGACTTAGGAATGACAGACTTTTTTATCTACATTTCAGCAATATTACAGCACTACACGGAAAATATGGGCCCTATATTCGTTTCTATAAGGCCAATTTCCGGTAACCAATCATAGACATGCCTTTACATTGGATGCCTAAGATTATATAGACCTACATTTTATGGGGGGTGGGGATCCGCATCACATTGCTGTACAGTAACTAAAGCTTATTACTGCATTGCAGTATGCGCACAATCTTTATTTTATATTTCTGTACGTGTCATTAACGAATACACACAAAGTCAAGATCAATTTCTCCGTGTTATCTCCATATACATGCAAAGTTGCTTTGATGGCGTACATGTCTTCTACCGCTTAAATGAGAACAACACGTCTCTTGTCTTTCTACCCCATTCTGTACACTTTTTTAAGTCCATTTCTTTCTCTTATAATACATTAATGATATATGCATTTTTCCAAATGAGTGGCAAATAACTCATATTCCACTAATGTTGTTTTTTTAACCAAAATCTAGGTGCCACTGAAATAAAAAGAAAATATTTTACCGTCTCAACAGTCACCAAAAGCACCATGTCACTGGGTCACCTGGGTATCGGTATCCCGGTACCCAAGAAAAAAATCACATATTGCATGACAATTCAGCGCACCATTCCCATGTCCTCGGGAGGATCATCACTGTGAACACTTCTCGAATATATTTTGACAAGCAAAAAGGCACAGAGGGGACATCACATTGTCTTTTTCACTTTAGGGTCGTTTTCATAAGAATATTTTACCACTCAGACGCTCTCTTGTCTACTGCTCTTGTACCCGTGTCCAGTGTCTTTGCTTGAATATCAATCAAGCAAATCATGAAGTTGAAGAGAATCTATTTTGTTGGCACGTTCAAGCATACAGGCGTTGCTTCCGAGCAGTCTTTTTGAGTTCACACCTTTTCACTGCCCTTATTCACGAGGTCCCTTAACACTACGACGAAAGGAAGATTAAATAGATTCATATACATATGAAGGGAGTTTCGGGCGAGTATGGCTGCACTCCCGCTTTCTACACTTTAGCAGTCGTCGCCTCCACGGGCCGCTCAACCACCGTGTGCGGCTGCAATGGGGGCGGGTTCTTCGCCTTGGAGAACGCCTGCAGGGAGAAAAAGCGCGTCTTGTCACAGGCGTCCACCGTAGTCACGTGCTGGAAGTTGCAAGGCGAAGAGATGTCGGTCTTCTTGGGAGCTTTGTACTTAGACACCTTCTCCTTGGGCTTGTTCTTCTTTTTGCCGGGCCCTGAGAGCGAGATGTTGGCTGGGTCTGCCGTCAGTCGCTCGATGTGACTGTGGAACTCGCAGGCGGCGCGCCCGTCATTGAAGGAAAGGCCCATCCGCCGGCGGTGGTCCGACGACAGGTAGAGGGTGTGGAACTGGGGTTCTTGGGCCCTGTACGAGGTGAGGTTGTCCACCACGTCCTTCCACAGAGCGAAACCCGTTCCCTTTTCCGCCAGGATGAGCTGCAGGAGGCGCTTGTCACGGGAACGTGTGTCTCCCTGGTCCAGCAGCAGAATGGGTACGCCCGTGTATTTTAACTCCCACGTGCCATGCGAAGCTCCAGCCCCACTCTCACAGTAGAGGTTGGCCAATGTGCGACAAACCCAGAGCTGTGTCTTGTGGCCACGGAAGAACGTCTCGATTCGCGCCACGTCCTCGTCCGTGACGGCCAGCGGGTCGTCCACTTCGTCCCGTCGGTCCGTCAGGGCGCGGAGCGAGTCGTACTTTTCCGTGATTCGACGCACTGCCTCCGCCTGAAATAGGATTGACTAAGGTAAGAAATGAGTATTTCGCAAGGCCGAATGGTTCTCCTAATAAGCTATTAGACTACAAATTGAAGTTGTTACTGCTAATGACATAATTACGAACCTCCTTGGATGCAGTGGCCTTTCGGATGTCAATGGCGGAGGAGTAGATGGGCTCCTTGCAGTCCTTGGGGGCGTGGTCCACCTCGTCTTCGTCGTCGGCGGCCTGGTACACGAACAGGTGCGGCGTAGAGGCGTGGTGGGGAAGGTGTCTTGCAACGCCCACCTCGTTCAGGGTGGAACCTCCTCTCACGCCGCCCATCGCGATGCTATTCCTGAAGGAGGTTGCGCTCGTGCTACACTCTGCGCATCGCCCCGAGCACTCGTGGCTGCCCTGGCACATCCTACACTCGAACACCTGTGAGGTAGGGCCGATGCTGCCTGCTCGAACACTACGACCAGCTATCCTGGCCTGCTCACTGTGGGCCAGCACTCCCTGCACCTCCCAGGCCCGGGTCTCTGCGCACTGCATTCACCGATGCTTCGGGTTCCTTCTCGAAATGGATCGCGGCCGGTGGATCACTGGCCTGTCACTCTCATGTTCGAAACACTTCACTTATTTGCGGCTGAATGAACTTACAACTAAAAATTCACAGCACTGAACTCCACCACCGTTTTCAATTTAACACGGGCTGTTTCGATAAGATTTCTGAGGCTGACATTTACTATCCTGTCTCGTATCTCGCGTATATCCCTGATCACGTCACGTCCTCGGGTCAGACACGACGCACTGGCAGCGCGGCACTCCCTCGGCAGCGTCCCTCATCAACTGTCCTCGCTCACCCGGCTCATTACAGGAGCAT